GATTATTTTGATCTGTTTGCTGTGGAAAATTATCACAGGAGGTTTCTTGCATTTTTAAATATATCCTTTTTTTCAAACATGAATGATCATTCTTAAACAGTACAAGGATCTTTATATTTTGATAAAGCACCTTTCCCCATTGGCATCAAACCATGGCACAAGCATGTCTTTCAATGTCTTTGATTTGCTGTGTCCCCATGACATTACCTTCAGCTCATTCCCATTCCAGGAGTGAAACAGTTTTAAATTGTGCTCAGCATTTCCCTCAGCATCCATCCACAGACTCAAGGTACATCAAATCTGTTATGCTTTGCCACCTATTGCATTAGAGGAAGGTCAGGTGAATACTAAAGGGTGGGATCAGAAAGATATTCCAGGCTAATACAAGCAGGCTCCTTCATTTTCCGTCCCAGTCTCTTGTCCTTTCCATGCTGCTGTTATCTCTTAAAAGAACTGGATACAGGGATGCAAATTTATTTACTAGCATTAAGTATAATACATCAGGCGTTCCCAATCCTTGCACTGCCACCCAGTATGGGATATGGCTTGTTGAGAACTTGACCATGCATGTGGCGGGTAAGTGAGTGAGTGAACAAAACACCATTTGCATTGAACCATCCTGTCTCCCCTGCTGCCATCGCTGCCACTGGTCTGCAGAACCAGAAGGTTGGAGAACACTGTGTTGTGGCCTGCCAGTGGCCAGTGCAGCAGGCAGTAGAGTTGGACAGTGAGGAGATTGGGGAGGAGCATGGGCCAGTCCTGGAAGCTGGGAAAGGATCAGACAAGGGCTCTGCGTCAGAGGCAGAGATGGCAGTGATCAGGTGCCTACGGAGCTAGACAACACTGAGGCAGAGGAACAGCTGGAGCCTGTTCTCAGTGTGAGCATGCAAAAAGCTGCCAGAAGAAAAGAACAACTCAGAAATCAGGGTAGACTTGGGAGTAAAGTCACAGGTGGAAGGCAATTGATCCCTCCCATAGGAAATAAAACAGGGGCGAAAGGGGAGTGAGCTTTTGCAGGAAACAATTCGTTTGTTCAGTCTTTAGATTCATTTCAAGAGTGTGAAGATCTGTCCACGAATCTCAGAGACTCTGTGCCCAGTCTTTCCTTGCACAGCACCTCATTTGGA